CGAAATATAATTTAAAATGGCCACATTACATTGAATTTGATGCAATATATTAGCAAACGTACAGGAAAAATAAATAATACTTTTTTTTAAATAATGCAATGAAATTATTTAGGGGGGCTAAAGACATTTTTAGGGAGGCTGAAGCCTCCCTAAAATAGGCCTAATGACGCCCATGAACAAAGCAATGGTAAATAAAATGACATCACCTGATAAATTAAGCTCACCAAAAGGCTATTTACTTAGACTTGAGCTTGCTCATATTATGAGTGTGTTGATTGAGGTTCTGGATATATGTGTGTATTTTATTTCATGAAACTGACTATGGTTGGTGTGATGGTGACTTCTCAGTCACAGAGGGGATTGTGAGGATGCATCCGTGCACATGCGTGCGAACATGTGCACGCTCCCGTACACAATCACGTGCACACTACTTGGGCGAGTCTAAGACAAAATGTCAGCAGCGTTTTTTTTTTGGGGTGGGGGGGGGTTGTGCCAGTCCATTCCTGGATACCAGCATACAGTATTCCATATCACACAATGAAATGTAATACATTTTCAATCTGTGATTTCTTGACCTTATTTAGCCAATTAACCAATCTTACATGACAAAAATCACACAGCACACCACCAGACAAAACTGTCACCAAAAGTATTTTCTGAAACAATGTCCAAATGTGTTTTCTGGAGTGACTTACTCAGGGTTAGATCATTTTTTAAGCAAAACATGTTTGACCTATACTCCTCCAAAAACTGGTAATGAATACAAGTGAAAGTTGAACCACTATCACTACTTTAATTTGAACATCCATTTCAAGCTGCAACATTTTAAAGAAATATAAAAAGTAATGGGTGTGTTGTTTTTTTTTTGCTTTTTTTTTTTTAACCATTTTGATGGAAAAAATAAATATAACAATCGCAATGATGCTGTGGTTCAACCAAATGCTCAGTAGTCTGCTCTACTTCTGGTACCTACAACCCTCTTTGTTTACTAACAAATCCCAGAAAATAAATACACATGCTTGGATTACGGTAAAAGGCTGGAAAAAAAACAACTACTAAAATTCCTACCTTGTACTGACCAAAACTGTGTTACCACAAATATGAATATAGATTTTGCTCTTCTTTCATGACTCCATTCTGCTCTACTTGTGCTCTTACCGGTATAATGGACTGGATCAGCACAGTCTCACAGAGTACTATAGATGCTTATCGTGTTGCTCGACCACCATCAGACAGGGAGGTCACAAAGTCAATATAGGGGCTTGCTGGGTGTTCACAATGTTCTGTGGAGAAAATGAAAGGAAGATGAACAGGCTTTGTGGTGCCACATGGCTTCCAGGCTGAATATGGGCCAAGAGAGAGTTGTTCACCCAGTTCTCCCAAAGACATACACCTACCTCCATTTGTGTTTAAATCGCAGCAACCACCCCCACCCCCAAACCACCCACCCACTTGCCAGTGACAGATGTATCTTCATGCAAGGATTTGTTCTACTTTTTCAGTTTGAACAGGATTAGGATGTTTTAGACAGGATTAATGTTATTTTTATGGATAATGTTAACTGCGATATTCTACGTTGACTGACTGTCTGAAATTTTCCATCAGATGTTTGTTGACATTTTGTCAATCTGCAGTGAAGAGATCTCTTTTTTGTTTCCTACTGTGAGAAGGAAACATTCACATATTGCTTGCTCATGTGGATGATGAGTTAGGGCACCTGCCATAAACCTGCTTCATAGGAAAAGTACTCAGAAATAAATTGTGATATATGAAATCAGGCACATGCAAGGGGTGGCGGGGGTGGGGGGGGCGGTGGTGTGGTAGGCTTTTTGGTTGCCCTGGCACTGGCCCTTTTGGCACTAATGACCAAAGTATTCCCCTCTATCACTTTTTTCCCCTTTTTTGTGGCTGTGAAAGGAATGTTTGCCTTTAAACAAATCAACAACATAATTCAAACAAATGAAATTAAATCGTTATTATGCCACACTTGGTCACGAGATCGTCACAGATGACATATGACATATATTACTCGATGCACCGCTCTTTCCAAGCTACTGCACCTGCTGTCAGTAAATCGGTCGCTGCTCGCTCCGTTTTTAATTGTTTGATTAACTCATTCACTGCCAGCCATTTTCTGAGCATCCAGCTCCATCTTGCCAGCCCTTGTGGAGCATGTTCACTGATCTTTCAAGGCGCACAGGATATTGTGTTGTACAGCAGTATGAACACTTTCTTTTGAACTTTCGAATATTTTATAGAATCAGCAGTAGAACATAGCCAAGTTTCATCAGTGTTTCCTTTTGTGGCTAGAAAACAGAGAACATTAGGTTTTTGTGAAAAGATTCATTGAAAGATGAACTTTGATGGTAATATTTGTTGCGTTTGTGACATGTCAAAAATCCAAACATTGCTTTCTTTCTTTGCAGCAACATAATCAATACTGAAAAAAGGGTTCTGATTAGCGGTGGGTATTGATTCAGATTTCCATTAATTCAATTGGATTCGCAAGGGCCCACTTCGATTCCATTCGATTCGACATTCATTTCAATTTTCGATTCAGTTAAGAATCTCATGCAGTACCAACAGTGGCGGACCCTTAGGGCCAGCAAGGCCTTCTCTGCTGGCCTAAACATTCTCAGAAAAGTAAATTTACTTTTATGTATTTTGTTATTTTATAATTTATGTTATTTTATTTTCATAAATATGTAAACAAAATTATTCCCTGTATTCTTTACGTCATATTATTTCCACTTACCGTATTTTCACGACTATAAGGCGCCATTAAAAGTCTTAAATTTTCTCCAAAATGGACCGGACGCCTTATAATGCGGTGCGTGTTATGTATGCGCCGAGTTCCAAAGCCTGACTAAGAGCAGCTCTGGCCGACACGCTGTTTATATAGAGAAAAGGTGGACGTGAGTGACAGGCATGCGGAAGTCGGCCAATGAGTGAAGGGTGGGCGTGTAAGAGGACGCTAAAAGCACTTACGTCCCTAGCAGGTACCAGTCGCCAATGAGTGAAGGGTGGGCGTGTAAGAGGACGCTAAAGGCACGCCCCCTAGCTGGAACCAGTCGCCAATGAGTGAAGGGTAGGCGCTTAAGAGGACGCTGAAGGCACACCCCTAGCAGGTACCAGTGAGTACATTGTAAAATGGATAAATAAAGTACATTTTAGCGTGAATGCATGCTCCCGAATGCTTCAAGCTAACGTCTTTTTAGCGTGCGTGCATGCATGCTGTATGTTTAAGCTGGCGTATGTTTTACCATGCCTGGCTGCGCCCAATAATACAGTGCGTTTTGTGTATGTGTCAAATACAGAAATAGCACCCGTTACTGAGACTGCGCCCAACAATACGGTGCGCCGAATGGTCGTGAAAATACGGTAGTTGAGTGGCTTTCAATGTTATTTTAAATAACATTGATAACATTAAAAGCCACTCGATAAATAACTTATTTATTATGGTAGAGTTTTTAACCAATCATATTTCAGCGAGCTTGCGTTTCTAGGTAAATTAAACTTGCTCGGGGCCTTCAGATTAAACAGAGCAGGCCCCCGTGCGTTGTAAGTGAACGGGCACAGTCAGGCTTCAATAGCCAAACAGATCCCGACTCTCAGACTCGTGCTCTGTAGTC